TGAAATATAGTATAACAATGAAGTGCAAAAATGAATACTTTCTATACATTAAATACTAAAGAGTGTAGTCTTTGGTAAACATAGACGTAACTTTTCCTTGACTGAAGTAGTTCACATTCTACAATATACACAGTCATCTTCAGATTGTAATTGCATGTTATTAGTTGTTTGTGTAAAGAGTCCCCCAGATTCTCACAGCTGATCTTTTTTTAGTCATAAATTGAATGTGTTAATCATTATTAACTGTTATCAATTTTACTAATATTAGTTAACAAGAATAACTATGTCTTGAATGAATGTTATCATTTAGTCAGGATGGTAAAAGATCTGATATTTTCAACATTTTTTAAAGCTTGTTTACTTTCCGGAAAGGATTCTAAGGTATGCCAGTAATAAAAAAAAACCTATGAAGAAAATATTGAATTTCAATTCTTTGTTATTTTTATTTCTAAAATAAATTCTAATTCAATTAAAATTATGCAAAGCTGGCTACAATCCTAGGTTAGATTGTCTACAAAAAAGCTTTGTTGAGCAAGACAATATATTTTTCTGAGCAAATATGACAAAAGAATTGATGTATTTGTGACAAATCTTATTTACCACAATTCAGGTTGTAATCAATTGTGGGTATACATGTATATGGAAGTTTTATTGATTACATTGCCTATGTCCAGGAAGATGTGGCTAGGATATATTAGTAGCAGTTACCTCCTTTTTTCAAGACTGAGATCATGGAGTATGTAATTTTGTTACATACTCTATGATCTCTTTCTTTGTGCAAGTTCAGTAACAAGTTTTTCTCTCCTACTATTTTCCCTTTTCTAAATGTTTACCCATCCCTCTAAAGTAGTTTTTAGATTTTAACACAGAAAAAAATCACATTTCATTCATCCTAAATTATAAACCTTGAAAAATAAAAAAATGTCTGCTTAAACAGTTAAGTAAGATATTTATACTGGAACCTTAAGGAAAAATTTGTCCCACAAATAAACTATTTTTCCTCCCAGTAAAATCTCAACCATTTTTTTAAAATTCTTACAGATGTACTTTTTTCACATTTATGCTGTTACAATGATTCAAAAGTCATGGAAGATTATTTCAATATATGATTACTGTGGTAAGATTATTATATGCACATAGATGGAAACATTAGGTCCTACCCACCATGGAGTTAGGGTTGTTGACAGAACTTGCTGAATGGCCAAACTGACTTCTTTGATTAAAGAAATGCCATTTTTGATATTCATCAATGACTAGAAACTGCTTACGGATTTTTTGTAAGGGAAAAAATGGTTTTGTAAGCATGACATCTTCTGGGGTATTTGGGAAGAGCTACATCAAAGCATTGGGTCTTATATCTTTCAATGATCCATCTCTATTTGCTCAGTGGCATCAATAATCCTCTGACAGATTTCTAACAACCTATTCTCAAAGTTCTCAATCATCAAATATTTTTTTCACAAACTTTACATGGGAAGCATTGCAACCGAAAATGCAACTGGATCGAATTTAGAGATTTACTTTTTATGTATAGAATCAGACTGGTTACTAATACTCCAATCTCTCTGTGCTTTCAGAATGACTTTGGCCACGAGGTTTCCTACATGAGCACTTTCCTCCACCTGAAAAGAGGCCACTTTTAGGACTACAGAGACACAAATAGTGCTATGTAAACACTGGATGGAAAAAAGGGAAACTTATTATCATTATTATTAATAATAATAATAAGTGCAGCAGCGTCCCTACGGTCCCTTTCCTAATATTGCCTTGTATTCGTATTCATTTCATGTAGACATAATCATGTTTATATCTGTTATCTAATTCACGCTTGACAAAATAAAATAAAATAATCAATAGAAATAAGGCCCCAAAAAGTCCTTCCCCTCTCATCTGAACTATTCAAAAGAAGATTTTTCAGTCAGGGTCAGGGAAGTCCTCATTCAACTTCGGTCCAGGAAAGAGGAGCTGGGCTGATTTTAAAAGACAAGACAGATCCCCCACCCCAGCCAAGCCTCCCCACCCCACCCCAGCCTCCCCACCTTGCACGCCAAGNTTCAGGGAAAAACTGTTCTTGTATCTAGTTCTCTTGGTGTGCAGTGCCCTATAGCATTATAGGAGGGGTTCTCCTCTGCCCAGAGTGGTTGAGAGAAGTTGGCATAGAAATTTAATAAATTATTATTCATCTGAATGTATCATTTAAGTGAAATGGAAAAAAGTGTTCTTGTTAAAACAAGTGTTCTTGTTTTTGTATTAAATAGATATCATAATTTCAGCAAATAGTAAAAATTATTTATTAGTGTTTTTGAGAATATTTAATGTGATAGTCATTTTGGTCTACTGGTTAAGGAAGCAGGCTAGAAAGCAGAAAGAAGTCAGAATTCGTTCTGCCTTGGCTATGAAGTCAGCTGTGGACCTTGGGCCAGTCACTGTCAGCCCAACTAATTCCACAGGGAAAATAGGAGGAGGAAAGTATTTTGGATATCTTCACTGTCTTGGGTTATTTGTAAAAAATAATAAAAGTGGGTTATAAATAAATACTAACTTCAGTTGCAAGAAGTGTTGACTGTTATTGCTGCAGCTTGATTATTATGTTGAGGAATTCAACCATATCTATTTGTTGTCTGAAATAATTATGACAGAATGTCTGATTTAAACATTCTCTGAAGTTTATATAGATATTTTATGTTGTAGACAGGTAGACCTTGACTCATAGCCACAATTGCGCCCAACATTTCTGTTGCTGAGACATTTGTTAAGTGGATTTTACTCAATTTTATGACCTTTCTTGCTAGAGTTGTTAAATGAATCACTGTAGTTGTTAAGTTAGTAACACTGATGTTGTCAATCTGGGTTCCCCATTGACTTTGCTTGTCAGAAGGTTGTAAAAGATGATGATATAACCCAGTTGGATACTGCAACTGTCATAAATATGAACCAGTTGCCAAGCATCTGAATTTTGGTCACATGGAGATACTGCAGTGTGAAAAATAGTCATGCCACTTTTTTCACTGCCACTGTAACTTTAAATAATTGTAAGTTGAGGACTACCTGCTCGGGATATGTCTGCATGCTTAGATCTGGGATATCTCTCTTATCGGCTGTAAAATTATAATAATGCCCTACTGTAAAAGATTGTTAAGAAAGAAATGTTCGAATGAACTGTAGTGTGCTTTGTATTTGAGAGTGAAACCTTCTTATATATTTTATAAGAATGAAGTTACATTCTAAATTGCTGCTTGTAACATACTTTTAAAGTTGTATATAGTTATTCACAGTAAAAGAGGATTACAGTTTTTGGATAAAAACTAAATTTGGCTATAAGATGCTATTTTAAAAATAAGCTTTGGAGTTTTGTAAATATTTATTTTGATGCAAGATTTGCGAATACATTGTTGTACAAATGGAACTATATTTTAAATAGCCCATGGGATAAATGTTAATTCTATGAAACTCTGCACATGCTTATATTTCTTATCATTATTTTAACATAATTTCACTTAACATATATACTGTTTAAAAAGAGATTTTTAGTCTATAGTAGCTTTATCAATTTTTGATTGCTTAGCTGTTCTACAGTAATTGTACTTGTACTTGTACTTGACGCCTCTTCACCCATCGTGGGTATAGGCGACTTCCATGGAAATTTGACGCCACTGTTTTCGGTACGGCAATCCATGGAAGCTGTTTCGGCTGGATATACCCAAGGGGACGCCAGTCCCAAGGGTCGACAGAGCCCGATTGGTGGGAACTGGGGGCACCACGTGAAGGCCGGGTTGTCGTTTGATAGTTGAGAGGCTTTGCAATAAGCGTTGCAATGTATATTTTGCGCATCAACTATCCTTGCCCCCCTTCTACAGTAATTGGTATTATGCATTACCTATGATGGGAATGCTTTCAAAAACTAATTTTAAAAAGTTATATGGTTAACTGTGTTTTAGGATACTATATTTTTAGTAAAGCTTTGTAATGAGTTTCAAAAGTAGAAAGAAATTTAGATCCTAATCTAAGTAAATTATGAGCATAACTTAATGTCATTCAGAAAAACTGGTATTATGACTTAAGACGTAGTTTGCACATGCACCCTGATATAAATTCTTACAGGAAGAAGTAAAAACTTTAGAGAATTAGATGTAATTTAGAAGTCCAATCCTTGAACACTTCATGATTCATCCCCAGTAGATGACTGCCCAGTCTCTTCCTGAAAAACACCACTGCAGTGTTTCTCAACTTTTACAACTTAAAGATGTGTATGGAATTCTGAGAGTTCAAGTTGAAGACACATCTTTAAGTTGCCAAGATTCAGAAATTCTGGTCCAGTGAAAAGATTAACTTATTGGCAGTTCTTACATTTATGATAACCAAATGGTTGAATACAGGTTTAAATGTAGTGTGTATTGGTAATTCATTTGGAACAGAATTGAAAATTATTGAATATATTTTCCTCCTAACAGTTTATGTTTTTGCTTATTTGCAAATGGTTCTTTGCTGAATGGGTACAGAATCTTTATAGGTGGAAATAAGATCTTATTGATCTTACTGTTCCGTACTCTTCACTAACTTATTTAATTCTATTTGCTCATGTTTCTTGACTTATTGGTATAAGGGAGCTCTAGACAAATGTCCTGGTCTGTTCAGTGTTTTTGAATACTGTAATAGAGCTTCTAAAAGTAAGAATTTCAGAATTATAATATGGGTGGATTTATATCTTCAAATCACTTTTTTAAAATTAAAGCAGTCTTTTCTATTCATTTTGTCTCAAAGTTGTTCCTATAATATAGGAATATGTTTCTAATGTTGGATAAAGGTAGATACTAATATTGATTACTATAATTGTAAAACAGATGTGGAATTCTTCATTTTAAGTTATGTGTTTTGTTTACTAGTGCATATTTTTAAAAATGCAGTTACTAGCCTTACCTCTCAGAAAGAAAAGTAAACTATCCTGTTTTTATAGTATAGTTCAAGCTTACTGTTTTAACAATCACTCTTTTAAATTGTAGGTAATCATTACCAAATGAGGAGGAAAGGAAGATGTCATCGAGTATCTTCAGCACGGCACTCTTCTTCTCCATGCAGTATTAAACGGTCCCCTACGAGAGAAACCTTAACCTATGCCCAAGCGCAAAGGATGGTAGAAATAGAAATTGAAGGTCGCTTACACCGAATCAGTATCTTTGAACCCTTAGAGATTATATTGGAAGATGATCTTACAGCCCAAGAATTAAGTGAATGCAACAGCAATAAAGAAAATAGTGAGAGGCCACTGGTCTCTCTGAGAGCAAAGAGGCACAGAAACAATAAAGTGAAAAAGAAAAGTGAAACTCTTCCAAACACACATGGCATTCCACCCACTGCAAGTACTCTTCCAGAACCAAAAGTGCATGTTGTTGAATATAGCCCACCTTCTGCACCTCGTAGACCTCCAACTTATTATAAATTTATTGAAAAATCCTCAGAAGAACTAGATAATGAAGTGGAATATGATATGGATGAAGAAGATTATGCCTGGTTAGAAATAATCAACGAAAAGCGAAAAAGTGATGGAGTCTCGGTTGTATCACAAAATATGTTTGAATTTCTTATGGACCGTTTTGAAAAAGAGTCTTACTGTGAGACTCAAAAACAGGGTGAACATCAGTCTTTAATTGACGAAGATGCAGTTTGTTGTATTTGCATGGATGGAGAATGTCAGAACAGCAATGTGATTCTTTTTTGTGACATGTGTAATTTAGCTGTGCATCAGGAGTGTTACGGGGTGCCATATATACCTGAGGGCCAGTGGCTTTGCAGGCAATGTCTGCAATCCCGTTCAAGGCCTGTAGACTGTGTACTGTGTCCAAACAAAGGAGGTGCCTTTAAAAAGACTGATGATGATCGGTGGGGACATGTTGTGTGTGCTCTTTGGATTCCAGAGGTTGGATTTGCCAATACCGTTTTTATTGAGCCAATAGATGGAGTCAAAAACATTCCCCCTGCCCGATGGAAGTTAACATGCTACCTCTGTAAACAGAAAGGTGTTGGTGCCTGTATTCAGTGCCACAAAGCAAACTGTTACACAGCATTCCATGTTACATGCGCTCAAAAAGCTGGTTTGTATATGAAAATGGAACCCGTGAAAGAATTAACTGGTGGTGGCACAACATTCTCAGTGAAAAAAACTGCATATTGTGCTATACATACACCACCAGGATCTGTTCGGAGGCCTCTGAATATTTATGGAGAAGCTGAAATGAAAAATGGCCTTTACCGAAAGGAGGGCATGGCCAAAACCAGGTCTACATCAAGGCTCAGAAAAAAAGCTAAAAAGTCAAAGAAAACACTAACTGAAACATGTGCAGTTATGCCTGCAGTATCTGCTCCATGTGTCCCTCCCCAGAGGTAAGAGTATTTTTAAAAATTCTTTGCAGTTAGTGTTACCAAGGTATTAATGAGGAGCAAAAATTAATCCTTAATAGGCTTTTTCAGGACAAGATGCACAAAAGGCTCCAGATCATTAACAATTAAAGGAAATTAGAAATAGTCATTCTCTTAGATTTTACTTTAGCAATAAATTGCAGTCACAAATGGTTTTCATTTGTTTTCCTTGTGTTGATTTGGAATAGGTAAGCCTGGTGACTGATTGAGAATGAGTGCTAGATATGCATTAGGGCTATGCAGTGTTTATGTTTCAAAGGTAGAAAGTTGCCCTGGAGTATGTGGATTTGCATATGTAGCACCTGTCTATAACTCATTAAAATAAAGATTTTTCTTTGGATAATGTCGCAGCTGCAAAGAATAGATACATGATCCTGGGAAACAATCCAGCTCTTTAAGGAGTTGCTGTGTGAGTGCCCAGTCATGCTCCAGAGCATCTTTTTGCCTTTGAATCTGAAGCTATACAAGCCAGAGGTAGGAACATAACCCCATCCTGTTGTTGTTTCTTTTCATCTGGTATTTGAAGGCATGTTATTTCCATTCTCAAAGTAACACTGACTTTTCAAGACTAAAAAGCCTTGATAGACCTGTTCTTCATGCCTTTATCCTCTCTTATTTTAATACCATCCAGATGAGTGACCGTAATCACGCCTGATAGTAATGAATTTCACAAGTTAATTATATGGCGTGAGAGGAAGTATTTTCTTTTTATTTCTACTAAATTTCTTTTCAGTCAGCTTAGTAAACTGATCCTAATCCTAATGTTTTGATTTTTCCTTGTCCATATTCAGTATTCCATGAAAGAAATTATGCATACTTTGATTATGTCCCTGTTCAGCTGCCTATTCCAGCTATTTGGAATTATGCAATTTGGTTTAATAAACTATATGGTGAAGCATTATATGTTTTCTTGTGCATAATTGACTTTACTGATCAATAATTGATGCTGCTTTCAAAAACACATTTTTGGACAAGAGTTCTAAGGTATTACTCAAGTTGCAGACATATCCTATGGAGAAAAAAGAAGGGAGTTGTATTGCATTTTGTGTGCTTGCTAAGAAGAAATAAAATTTTGTCCTTTACATATTTTGCAATACAGCTTCCATAATCCTACATCATGGCACTGCATAATCTGGCTATTTCAAAAACAAAATATTTCTTGTTGTGTCTTATATAGCAATAGCACTTAGACTTATATACTGCTTCATAGTGCTTTTACAACACTCTCTAAGTGGTTTACAGAGACTTATATTGCCCGCAACAATCTGGGTCCCCATTTTACCCACTTTGGAAGGATGAAAGACTGAGTCAATATCTTAAATATACCAAATATTTAACTTTTCAGATTTCCCAAATGTTTAAGTGAACTTCAAGTACAAGCATGTAAGCTATGAAACAGACAACTTTAGCTAATGTACGTTGTTCCTTGTCTATGACTTATATTTAAGCAAAACAAAGAAATTATTTCTGTAGTTTATTTAGCTTGATACTTGAACAGATATCTAAAGTCTGTTGTTTCCTTTCTGGCAGACAGCACTTTGAAGTCAGGAATAAGCTATGTAGAACTAAATTATGTAGAACTAAATCCTTACTTGATTTCTAACAATTTTCAGATTATATTTAACATAACAGTAACTTTAAAACATTTTTGGATATATGTGTTCTGGATAATTTAATATTAAGAATTTAAGAATATTTTAAAATGTTTATGGAACTATTAAATGATAATGTGCTGCTAGCATTAACAAATACGAATCTGTTAGGTTTCTCTGCACTCAAGTGTGTTAAAACAAAACAGTCTTATACTTGAATGTTACAAATTTATAAAATCCTTTCAATTGGAATACACTTCATCAGAAGCAAGGCTTATTACTTTAAATGTTATTTAGAATGTTGTCCTGTTGAAAATTTCCATATTGAATGTTCCTGGACTAATAAGGTAAATCCACTGGTAAAAGGAAGACTTTTATGCTAAAATGTAATAATCGTGCTGTTTCTCAAAAATGAAGATAGTTTGTAATCTAGTTTTTTAAAAAACCATGTCCTTCCTAGATTGTAAGATAAATACTGCTCAGGACTTAATATGTATTTGTAGATAGTGTTAAATTAAACCCAGTGAAACTAAGAATGGATATAGGGTTTCACAAGTCATTATAATAAGAGATTGGGGGAGCAAATACACTTTATTCTGGTAACCAAATTTCCTCTAGACTAGAATTGTCAATATCATATTAAATTGATGGAAAATGCTCATCCTTCACAAATAGCATGCATTATTATTTGAGGAACCATAATCTGAAGGGGGAAGATGGATGGATGTTTAGATTTTGTTTTCATTTATTTACACAAGTATATAAAGCCTATTTCTTATAAGTTTGTTTTAATATCAGTTTCTAGTACTCATCTATAATTATCTCTGCTCCCAGTTGTACTTTAATTGTACCTTATTTTTTCAAATAGAATACTTTATTATCTAATTCTGTTTATATTGAGAAATAACTGCAGAGGATATATCAAGCATAACTCATCTATCAGTTGAAAATTAAGCTCTTGGAGATCAAGAAGATGCTATAAAGGTTTCATGAATTAAAGTGACTTGATGGTTGCTATAGGCACCATACAAATCTAATGAATAAATAATAAAAGTGACAGACAAATATGTGTGAACCAGTGGTCTATTAAATATTCCAAAAATACATAAATTTAATAGATTTAAATATTGTGAATTTTTATGCAGATCTGCATTATATAATAGTAATAAAGTGGCAAAAATTCAGTTAACACAATTTGTAATGAATTGTGTCATTTATTTATTGAAGGATACACACACACACACACACACACACACACACACACACACACACACACACA